ATTTTTGAAGTAGACTGTGTTAATTACTCTATCAGATGAATCATCTGACCATAATTCTTTGATAACTTCTGCGAACGATTTGATTAAAACACCTTTCATACTAGAAATACTAGTATTGATATCTTCCATGTATGCATCCTTTTTTGGGTATTCCAGCAACCATCCCGTGTTTGATAAACATTGAATTATAGTGTTCATGAAACAGGTGTTTCCAAGATTTTTTAAACCATTGAACCAAAGAGTTTTGATTGAAGAATGTATCACCGATCTATTGTTGCACCTACGTTTGCCACTACTATCTTCTTCTGAGCAAACACGGATAGGATGATTCACCCCTTCATTGGATTGGTAGTATAGGGAATTCGAAGCAAAACTGATCAAAACTGAATTAGATATTAGTTCTTTTGAGGGCTGAGCCAGAGGACCAAACTCAGCCTCATTTAGAGTTCCCACTTCCTTTTCTGTCAAAGCTTGACGGTTTTGCTGCGAGTCTAATTTTTTATGGGTAAAATGAAATGGAACAGTTAACTGATTGGTATGCAAGATATTTCCTTCGTTGAACAAAATAATTTGATGTCCAGTGGCGGATTTACCATCAGGCTGAGTAGGCTTGAGCCTAGGGCGGCAGTTTTCTGGAGCGGCAAATTTGGGGACCGATTTTTTGCTACATCATGGAAATCAAAAAGATTTTGGCAAGACGGTTGTCTGATGTCTTACAGAAAGAAGTTTGCAACAAATTTTGCCGATGAATTGTTTGAGTGAGAAAAGTTTATCATGTCTGAAAAGGGTAAAAAATTATCTGGGTTCGACCTTGAGCCAAGAAAAATTGAACGCCTTTGCTCTTCTTTGCATAGAGTCAGAATCAATGATTCTGCCAACAGAATTTGTTGCAACGAACTTTTATAACTTTTTTAATTGTTCGGAAGCGCAATAAAGAATATTTATTCACGTTTACCAAATGTACTTTATTGTGTAAGTAGGAAACATTACCCCGCTCGTAAATGATTGAGCTTTTGATTGGCTCAAAAATATACCCAAAAAATATTTTGCCTACGATTTCTACGAAATTGTTGGAATTGTCAAAATAATGTAGGGCGGCAAAAACTGTTCAGCCAACACCTTTGAAAATTTGTGAATCCGCCACTGTTTGATGTTCAGTCTTTACCATACTTTTATTCATTTCAATGTGTAGAATAACAACCAGAAAAGGTCACAAAAATAGTGATATTCACCCATAAAAACATGAAGCATTATTTTTGCTGTGAGCATTTAATCTATAAGCCGTTTCGATAATTATATTTTATATATCTGTGTATTATGCACGCCACTGGCAAAGTGCAAATTCTGCTGTACTATTCGCAAACGTCAAGGACTTTGAATCTGGGAAAAGTAGTGAATAAATAGATAATTGAGATAAAATGCTGATACATAACTAGGTTTGTTTTAAATAATTATCATTGATAGTACAATAAATGTCATCACTTGTATAATGTTATCTGATATAAACTCGATTAGCAAAAATCATAATAAGTGGGTCGAGCTTGGATCACAAATGATTTTTTCAAGTGTGGATAAATTAGATTAATTATGAAACAAAAAAATTAAATGGAAAGGGCGGGTCTTGGGACACATCTTTTTGAAGCTCCTGATAAATGCTTCACAACCGTAGAATATAACTTCAACTACTACAAAATGGCGGAACTAAATTGACATTTAACTACACAATATTAGATAATAAGCTTGAGATCACTTCAGAAAATGCTCGAAATGGTTTCCTTGAACTTCTTGACATATGAATAGCCTATCCGATATTTCACGCCGAACATTTTAGAACACACTAACGTCAATATCTCTACAAATATTTACTATTCTCTGCCGTATATCCAATATTGAAGCAGGTTCAGTTTCGTACATCTTTTGCTTCAAATAACCTCATAAAAAAAGTCCAAAGGTGTCAAATCTGGCGAGCGGGCTGGCCATTCTGTAGGACCTCAACGGCCAATCCAACGACCGGAAAAAGTAATATCCATCTAGTTTCTTACTTGTCTGGAGTAATGTGGTGGTGCTCCATCTTGTTAGAATACAATATTCATATCGAATTAATAAGGATTCGCTTCGAAGATTTCAGTGATGAGAGGGTCAACAGTAGTTTCCAGCATATTCATATACAATTCCCCTGTTGAATTTTGATCAATAAATAAGAGGTCCTACAATATGGTTACCCAATATTCCTGCCCAAACGTTAATTTTTTCTGGATATTGGGTATGGGTTTCCCGGAAAATGTGAGGGTTGGTGTCACTCTAATAACGGCAATTTTGTCTGTGAACATTGCCATTTAAAAAAAATATACATTCGTCACTAAAACAACATTGTGGAGATAGGTAGGATGCCTTGCAATGGTTTCCGTCATGATTTCGCAGAATTCTGTTCTTCGATCAGGGTCATCTTCAGTTAATTGATGTACCATTTTGATTTTGAGCATGATACCTCTTCAAAAGTCTCCACACAGTAGAAGGAGACACCTCACAAACATTCGTGACGGAATAAGTAGACTTCCGGAATGGACGGATGTCCTGGGGGTGTTTGTTATGTATCCTACCGGTAGTTGTGAATTTGGATACAAGTTTGCTCAAATATTTTCTACAGATAGGAAGATTCGGAAAACGTTCATTAAAAATCCTTTCGGTCTCGTGAAAGTTACGCGTCGAACCGTAAATACAAATCGCTTCAATTTTTTCTTCCAATTGACGAGAATTACCATTCTAAAGATTGTTGACGTGGTACCTTTCTACTAGTAAAACCGAAAAGTAAATGAGAATATTCTAACTGAACAATGATGTTCATTGTCGTACTGACATTTTTTGTCGTTTTTATAAACAAAAAACAACTTAACAAACCTTATCGGGTCGTTGGAATTGCCATATGACAGATAAAAAAGGAATATTTCTAGACATATGGATATTGTGTTTGTCTTCAGCAAATTATTGAAGGATCCGCCATTTTGTTGTAGTTCATATTCCAGGGTTGTGAAGTATTCGTCGGGAGCTTCAAAATGATGTGTCACGAGGCCCCCCTTTCCATTTAATTTTTTTTCCAGATGGCGCCCAGTCGCCATCTATCAATTACACTTGAAAATAAAGTATTCATGTATTAATTTCATTATCCCAAATTTCAATTTTTTGAGTTGACCCGTTAAAAAAATAATTAAAGGGGGGGACATTAAAGAAATGCAATGTATAAGTAGCGTTTCTGTCTATTAACTGTATTTTTCAGTTCTTAAACTATAAAGTATGTTCACATAGTTTCCAACTTTTGAAAACTTTATGTTGTGTTACATCTTACTGAATTCATGAATATCAATTTCTCTACAGACTTTACTTGAGGACCCCCTTTATGTGGGTCTCCGTCAGAAAAGAACAACTGGAAAACTCTATGATGACTTCGTGGACGAATTTATGCAAGGAATTGTTAAGCGCTACGGCCAGAACACTCTTATACAGTTCGAGGATTTCGGAAATCACAATGCTTTCCGATTTTTGGATAAGTATCGTGGAGAATACTGCACCTTCAATGATGACATTCAAGGTAACCATATACAATCATGTGCTTTCAATACACAAGTACCCCATGATGCCCAATTTTTCAAACGATTTTTATCAATCCAGCCTAAACTGGAAAAATTAGGCATAGTTTTGAATTTCGCTTCAAATTTTCCTACAAATTTCGCTCCAAAACGTCATGTGATCACTGTGACGTCACCTGTTTCAAAACAATGGTATACTAATGAAACAATATGAAGTTTCATCATAATATTTCTTATTTACTCATAAACACATAATAGAATTGGCCGATAAAAATCTGTTCAAAATATACTTATGATGTACTGTTTGGAACCTTTGGTGTAGTAATGAATATTACTGGTTACATTAGGTTAAGAATGAACGAAATCTCGACTTTCAGAAAGGACAAAAACCAAGATAAATACATCTTAGTTCCATACCACCAATATACGAAGAACTTTGGAAAGATTTTCAAGGAACTAGGTATGAAGGTGGTTTTTAAAACAAGTCATACACTGCAGAGCCTTTTGGGAAGTCCAAAAGACAAAGTCGAGAATTCGGAAAAGTCTGGAATTTACGAAATTGAATGTAAGGACTGCAATGCCAAATATTATGGACAGACAAAAAGATCTATTAAAGTGAGATATAAGGAACACATAGCACACTTTAAATATGGAAGACCTGAAAAATCAGCAGTCGCCCATCATATTTTGCAACAAAACCATTCCATAGACTTCGGTTCTTTAAGATTAGTTAGACAAGTTAACAACAACAGGCAACTAGATGCCTATGAGAGTGTAGAAATAAGTAAACATAATAATATTATGAATAACGATAACGGACCAATACCAAATAGCATACTATATAGCTTGGTGAAATAATATTGTTGGGTTTACTGATTACTACAAAAAGACACATTGTAAAAATATATTTAGATAGGCAATATTGTGAAACTAACTTTATATAGCTGAAAATTGTTGTATATATTGCTGTAACATTTAAACATACATAGGGACATATTGTAAAATAATAGAAAGGCCAATTGTAAAATTAATTTAGGGTGGTCCACTTGTCTGGGTGGTATTACTGATTACCTACCTGTATGATGTACCTGAATAGCATAAATAGCTTTAGTTTTGAGAAGTTTCTAGTTTTATCTTCCTCTTGAAGATGATCACTTGGTGATCGAAACACGTGTCGAGGTGTAAAAATAACGATTTGGTGTTGGGAAAAAACTCCAGTAATATTTGTTTAAAATATGTTTTTCCGTTAATCAGCTGTCGTCCCCATACGAACGACAACTCTCAGTAGTTGAGAAACTTGTGCGAGCTAAGGACAAACGAGGTCTTACTTTTTAACGTGTGATTCCTAACACGATAGTTGATGGAAATCTATGACAAAGAAAACTTAACTTGAGTATCTGAGTTTAAGCATATTAATAACCAACAAATAATTGAAATGAATCACAGTAAAACAAAAACACTAATGAGATTTATGTAACTGTGATTTTCCACCGACAATACTTTGTAGTTGCGGATCAATTTTACTTGTACCAATTATCAAAAGAGATTCAAGATGCTCATCGGTTAATTGAGATCTGTAAACATTCTTTGTGTACTTCATCGTGGAAAACGTTTTCTCACACAAGTAAGTAGTACTAAAAACAGAAAACAACCCACGACCAAATTTATGCAAATTATCAAATTGTTCCAGTGGAAGATATTGATATTTGTTCTTAAGCATATCACTACACTGTAAATCAATAATTTCCATTTGAACTTCCGGAGTCAGGGTTTCAATGTCAGAATCAAAAAGATTTTGAAAAAGCCTAATTTCATTCGCAATGACATCAAAATCTGAAAAACGAGTATCAAAATTTATCTTCAAAGCACTCAAAGTTTCGATTGCAAAATTGACGGGAAATTCAGTCTCTGTAGTGTGGCTAAATATTTCACATGTTTCAAAATGTGTGAAACATTTTTTACGTAATTGCGATTGACATAGTATTATTTTCTGCCTGAAGGATTTGATATTGGTGTATAAATCAGGGAGAAGCTGAATTTCTCCTTGCAATCTCAAATTCAGTTCGTTCATATGATTTGTCAAATCGACATAGAAGGCTAACTTCCACATCCATTCACTATTTTCTAAATCGGCAAAAGGGCGCTGCTTCTCATTTAAAAAAATTTCGATCTCTGCTCGAAGTTCAAAAAAGCTCTCAGGGACTTTTCCGCAACTAAGGCAGTGTACGGCAGTATGATATGGTAAATCATTTTCTCCAATCTGTTGAATAAACTCGCGGAATTGTCGGTGATTCAGCCCAGTGGATCTGATGAAGTTAACAACTGATATGACTGGTTTTAGAACTTCAGACATATCCATTTTCCGCACAAGGACTGTTGATGAATGATACTATGTAAGACTAATGGTTTTGAACCACCATCATTTTCTACTGCCTTTGACACAAGTGCAACCACTCCTTTATTTTTACCATATATATTTTTGCCTCCATCAGTTGTTATAGATTTCAAATTTCCCCATCGAAGGTTCTTTTTATTAATGGCATTTTCAACTTCCTTAAAAATATCTGCCCCAGTTGTCGTGCCGTGAATACTATCAATATCAAGAAGTTCTTCATACACTTCATAGCTTTTATCTACTCCGCGAATAAAAATCAACACCTGAGCAGTATCTGACACATCCGTTGACTCATCCAATTCTAGAGAAAACCACTCATGATGCCCATTTTTGTCAGACAGTTGAGGTGATATATTTTCTGCGAAGTCTTGCACCCTCCAAGCCACGGTGTTTGCTGACAAACTGACATTTTTAAATAAATTTACCTTTTCGGGCCATATTTCTTCGGCTACTACAATCAAGCATTCTTTTTTCATTTCTCCATCAGTGAATGGTCTGCCACGTTTTCCAATTTCAAGAGCCACACGAAAGCAGGCGCGAGTTGCAGACTCTTGTTCAGTATTCGCTTTGGTAAACAAAGATTTGAGTCCGCGTTTCAAAGCTTCAAATTTTTTCTTCCGCAAACTTCCTGTATACTTGGAGTAACTTTGAAGATGTTTCGATTCATAGTGTCGTTTAATGTTATAGTCTTTGAGAACAGCTATGGTTTCATTACAAATTAAACATAGCGCCTTATTACTGGACTCAATCACAAAATACTGAAAGTTCCATTTTTCTTGGAACGTTCTGCATTCACTGTCGATTTTTCGCTTCTTTTCCATACTAACAAATCACACATAAAAACAATAAGTCAAATCAAAATACTTTTATTGACGGGTGTTACTTTATTTCACAATTGACAGTTTCGCTTCCTTCGCCTTTCCTACGCAGACTAACTCGCAGTTGCGCCGCTAGCCTTTTTATATGCAATTATTACTGTCATCTCGAGGTGATCGGAATACACTAGCTAGAACCAGAACTTTCTCGAACCAACGCGGTAATTCCAAATATTTAATTACGCCTAATGCCACCTAGCGGGTAGCTGAAAAAGATAGTACATAGTACCACTACTCGACACTAGATGTCATTAAGTGTCACAATACACAATAATGATTGAAATGCAAAAAAAGCGTAAGTTTGCTTAGGTCACGCACTTTGCGACTATCCTAGTCTAGAAATATAGTTAAGGGCAGAAATTGGCCCTTGGAACAAACTGAAAAAATCATTATGGCCCGAAGGCTTTAAAGTTTGGAGACCCCTGATCTAGCTGATAGTTATTGATTATTGTTACAGTACATAGGTGTGAATTTGTTGATTATTTTGTAAAATCACTTAATTGAATTGTGAGTGTCAATTCATCTGTTGGTAGTTGACGTTACCCATTGAAACCTCTACTTTTTGTATCAAGGTACTGCAAGCGTTGCCGTTTCCGGTCTACTGGCCTCGAAGAGATTAACCGGCAAAAAATTATCCGACAACAAATTCCTGTTTCTCGGAGCCGGCGAAGCTGCCATCGGCATCGCCGACTTGACAGTCAAGGCTCTTGAAAATGAAGGCCTTTCCATCGACGAAGCTAGAGAGAGGATATGGATGGTCGACATCGACGGCTTACTGGCCATCGAAAGACCCGAAGGCGGTTTGGAAGGACACAAAAAGTTTTACGCTAAGAAACACACGCCCATCAAAGATTTCGAAGCTATCGTCAAGGAAATCAAGCCTTCGGTTCTGATAGGTAAGAATGGTTTATCGATATACAGTGCACGTTCCCAATTTTTGAATGAGACAGGATATCAAGGTCGGACAAAATTAACGTAAAAGGCATCATTATTGGTATTTGCATTACTCGTCGCCGAGAAGGCACTACCAACTTTATTTCAAGGTCGTATTGCAATAAACATATCATTTTAATAATAATAAATGAACGGCTTTATTATTGTAACGAATCTGAGGTCGCCCCTGATCGATATGTCGGCCAGCGAACAAACACATGACATCACCGCAAAAGGAATGCAGTCGGCAACCGCCGATTAAACTCTAGTTGAGTACCGAAACGACTATAGAATTCTAGAATGATCGTTACCGATTTGTAAAGTTGGCTTCACGTCCCAAGAGGGCAGTTGAGTTCAGAAAGCGAATCGAGCGGTTAAACAAGGAATTCAAATAGTGGAGATAAAAAATTAAGCGTTAGTTGCTTAGTGTTGAATATAAATTAGTTTGTGATTAGTGAAATATTGTTAGAAATAAATTTGTTTAAGAGAGTTAATTCTTTAATTTGTTACATTACTTTAAAAAAAAGCATGATTGAGGAAATATATTAAACGAATTTTTTTTAAAATGAAGGGCAATGTTCGGCTGAGCTCCTGAATAAATTCAACAACTGAACTGTTCTTCCACTTAACCCTGAAAAATACCTTTCTGTTGAATTTTCTCCAACTGATACAAGAAAAAAATATACAAATTTGTCCACACAACAAGTAAGTTTACAGAAGTGCGAGTGAAACGATGTAAAGCTCAGAAATCATATCACTGACGTGTGTTCAATAAATGGCTAAATAAATTACATTTATTTATTTTTGTTTTTTCATCATTGTTATTATTATTTTCATTAGGTGCATCAGCAGCTGCTGGAGCATTCACGCCAGAGGTTCTAAAAGCGATGGCTTGCTTCAATGAAAGACCTATTGTTTTTGCTCTGAGCAATCCTACTAGCAAAGCTGAATGTACCGCAGAACAAGCGTATGTCCATACCGATGTAAGTACTTTATGTAATCATTCTAAGTGTTTAAAAGGTACTTCATTTCAAACAGTTGGAATAAAATGTTTGCAACAGTGAGCTTTTGTTTCTGAATACTGAAATTTTTAAAGTGACTTTACTTCACTCTGAATTGCTTTGCTCAATTAGACATAATATTGCCAAGGTTTTATGCAGTACTCGAATAATGAGCTTCTTTCACATGAAAAAGCTTGAATTCCAATATTCGATAACAATATATACACAAGTCAATAAAAATATTCTCGGACAGTTAGGCGGCGGTGGAAGCTCTTGGCTCCTACCGAGCAACGTCTAAATTGGCAGCAAATTGCCAAAAACGACTCTCCTCGATAGGAAGACTTAGCAGATTGTCTCTGGCCTAGACTCCTGGCCATGCTGGCCAGTACTACAGTAGGAATGAACTACGATGTTTAACAGGCCTTCTGACAGGTCACTGTCATTTGAATAAGCATATGCAGAGACTCGGTGGAGGGTCGAATAGACTGACTTACTTTGGACCTAACCTAACCTAACAATATCTTAACGAACTATCTGCTGTCATCAAGGAACGTCTCTGTGTAGGTTTTTGTGGAATACGTAGTAGTAACTATTTAATAACAAAAATTACTGTATCCAATTACACATTGTAGTTGTTGCACCTTTTCTCTATTTCACCGTCGCCTTTCTTCGCTCTCGAACTATTTCGCAGTGTTGCCAACAGACATCGGTCAAATTACACGCCGCCAACTGTCAAATTACACGTTTTTGCACGCAAATGTTCATGATTACACTCTCTCTGGATACCCTCTTTGACATTGAAAAGTAGAGGCAAGGAAATTTTTTTCGTAAGTCTTTAACGGTAAATTAGCACAGATTGAATAATCGTGACCTCGAAATCGCCTGTTGAGAGAATGTATATAGTTGATTCTGCTAATTAAACGGCTGACGGAACTGGGAATAGCTATAATGCACCCTTGACTCTCTTTCAATACTTGTGTAGCTTTTGTTCGATGCATTGTCATTTCATGTGCTATTGTGCTATCGGGAAAAATGTCCTGAAGTAGGGGAGTCAAAACATCTGTTAATGAAAATGGTAAATTATTAGTTGCCAGAAGGCCTGCTAATTTGATTTCTGCTCGTCTCGTTTTTTCAGACAATGGATTATTCAATAACTTCGATAAATCTGAAGAGGTGGAAACTTGTTTCTCTAGAAATTTATGTTTTGTAGATTGTCTGTGTTTCAACAAGGTTGCCTTATGAGGTAGAATATTTACTTGGCATAATTTGCAAAAAGCCTGACATTCTTTATGTTTTCCCATATCTTTTGACTTCGTCAACCAATTTTTCAAATTCGATTCTTGCAACCAACACTTACAAAATTTATATTTTCTAGTTTTCTTCGTATTTTTCACTTCTGACTCAATAGTATCGTCAACCTTAATACTAGATGTACTTGGCGCTACTAAAAATTCTGATGAAGACATTTCACATCTATCTTCAGGTTCATTATTCTTCTTCTCATTTCTCTCTGATATGAGCTACTTCAGAAATTACACGCAAAATTCCATTACACGCATATTACACGCAAGGGGTAAAAATTACACGCATTTCGTGTAATTACACGCAAATTGGCATCACTGCTATTTCGCGCTCTACTTCAGACTGTCTTCCACTTCGGTACTGACTCATATATTTACCATCTTCTGTGTTTGCCATAGTATTCTAGTATTTTTGCATTCACTTCTCAGGATCGGGTAAATATTGTCCTCTGGACACTAGTTTATCTATATGAGACTGAAAAGAGAGCTTGCAATTAAAAACCACCCATATGCCTGTGAGGCTATCAACTCTGCTTAAATAGGTACCATCAACTCTGCTTAAATAGCTGAATGAATCGGGGATCTTTGCACGAAAATGTAATGGATTGATGAAATGAGAACTAAAATGAATAGTCCAGTCATTATAGTAAGTTCACCTCGGAATTCGAGATACCCAGCTGTAAGTCTGTAAATACTCGTATATTGACACCCTAAAAGTTGTCTCAAAACCTACATATGGTAGGGTGTAAGCAACTATTAAATTTCAAGGTCAAAGGTCACTAAAATCGGTTTTTTGCGCTTTTTTTGGAAATATCTCATTTCCTATGGGTTTTTTGCTATTTGTATTTATTATCAATATTGTAAACGACTATAGAATTCTAGAATGATCGTTACCGATACTCTCGTCCCGAGAAGTCAGTTGAGTTTGGAAAGTGAATCGACCGGTTAAACAAGGAATCCAAATAGTAGAGAAAAATCAAGCGTTAATTGCTAACTGTTGAATATAAATTTGTTTGTCATAGTTAAATATTGTTAGAAATGAATTTGTATGAAA